CTGCTTCATCAATCGCACTAAGCTGTGTGTTAGAAACTAGTATCCCGGACTCTTTCGGTTCAGCTTTGATCGGTATTTTGTTAGGTAGTATTGCCGCGTTTATCATTCGCAATAACGCTATGCACTTGGCAGGAAAATCAGTTCCGCAAGTAGTAATAAACGATATCGTAGCACAATTAAGGCACGACAACATCATAAAGTTAGTTTTTCAAACATTTTTCAAGTAATTTGGATTGAAAATCATCGCGCAAAATTATTATCTTTTTGGGATTCTATTGTAATGATTATCACAGTTTAAAAGAGAGTAGATGGTTTTAAGCCTTTTAAGCTTTTACCCATCTTAATTCTATATATGAAAAATCTAGAATCCTTTTGATTATTCGTGATTCTTTAGAAGCCTAGTAATAGTGTTGACCATTTTCTCTTTTTATTTATTTTTTGTTTCTTGCTTCGTTATTCCTATCATAAATTGATTTCTGTCATTTTATTTATTGGTTTGAAAAATATGTCATATACATTAGTATAGGTCAGTACATGATGTGAAAGCAGTCGGACATGGAGTTGGGCAAGTTCGATTTAAAGCAGAAGTGGAATATGACGGACGAGCAATCACCAATTTGTATCTTTCAGAGTCATGTCACATTCCTTCTGTCATTGAGGTCAGTGAGTTTTATCAGTATCATTTAATAAACTTTTTTGACAGACGCCATTCTCAAAAGTGCACATATTTATGAATTGGAAAAATTTCCATTTATCTGTCCAATTTTATGAGACAGTTGTCGTCTATTTATGGCATTTCAAAAAACTTATTGATTCTTTCCGATACTTTCTGCAAATATTTAATTTCAGTCTTTTATATCTTTCGGAAATTTTTTGCTTTTTCTCCTTCCCTTTTTTTGGCAGAAAAGTTCAACACATGAAAGCTGCGAAAAAGATTGATATTTTCTTTTGGTTTTCTACTCTTCGTAATATTACTAAGAGCTTTTTAATAAATCAAGAGACAAAAGAACTCAGGAAAGACCCTGAAAGAAAATTGTAATTTAAAAGAAAATTTTTGAGTATTCTTCAAAGCAAGATGTTTTCAAGTGATCTTTTCGTACTTTTTAGCATAATCTTTTCAAATATTCCAAAATTTGAATTTTTTGACTTCGGAATTTGAAGTTCAATTTTGATCTTAAAATAAGCTTTTATCCGGCATAGTTAAATGAAGTATGTTGCTCTCAATCTACAGGCAAACAGCGTTACAGATTTGTGATTGAAATTTCAACAGTTCGCATTTCAAACTGCACATTAATTTCAAATGATAAGCAAATGAATAATGTGGATTTATGATTGAGATTCGTTTTTTTCTCATTCAGTAACACGAAACACTTGCTAAAGTGCCTGCTTCTTCAGATAATTTTTTTCACATATTTTTTGACCGCTCTTTTTTAAACAAATATTTGAAATGTTGCTGTAATTTTGATTAAAAAGCCATCTACTCACAGAAGTGTATTGTTTCTTTTTTCATCGAATTGAAACTAGTTTGCACATATACTTTTCTAGGTCTCATTCTTTTCTTTCTTTCCAAATGTCTATGTAAAAGGGAAAAACAATAGTCTTAAATTCATGTTATGTTAAAATTTACTGATACATTTCCACCAAATTTGGTTTTTTTTTCAATTTTGCCGAAATAATGGAATTTTACATAGTGCTTGAGAGATAACATTTATTCTGTGGAAATCAGTGGATTTTCATTTTGATATAGTCTGCGGTCAGGGACAGTTTTGTTTAATAAACTTTGCAAACACTAATGACAATAACATTCAAATCTTATTTCGTTGTAACTTTTACCCTCTTTTTATTGGTTATTTTTGTTCTTTTTCCATGATTTCTTCCAATTCCATTTTTTTTACAACATCTTTGTTTTTCAAAGAAAAAGATCTAGAAGAAATGTGAAAAGTTAGAAGACACAACCGTAATTTGCAATGCATAGAGTTAGATATTTTGATCATCTTTGATACAGTGACCTTCCTGATTGATCACTATACATAAAATAAAATATTCATGAAAAAAACGAATCGAGTAACTTTTCTCATTTCTGAATTTCTCAATGAATCATTTTGATGGTTATCTCTTCAAACAAAACAGTCGTTTTCGTAAAAATTTTTAAAAATTTCTGAACTTAACGAATTATGATTCAAGCGCTGTTGTATCCTATTTCAATGTTCATTGAATGTACCATGTAGAAGAAAGAAACGTGTAGGAAATGAAAAATTCATTGCAGTGTGTTGTTTACCAATCATTCAATATGGATAAATAATGAGATTTGACAAATTTAAGGAATTACTCATTGCTTTGGAAAGAATGATCCTATATATAGGTTTTTAGGAAGCAAAGAAAATCAAAGATGAAGAAGGATTGCGACGATTCATGTTACATCATGGTGAGCATATTGTTAATCGGATAGCTGATGAAGTGGATCGTATTGAAGATGTGATCACCAAAAAGCATCCGGATGTTAAGCATGTTGATTTGGAACCGCTGTAAATTACTGTGAAACATTATCACTTTTTTAAAAAAGAAAATATTTCTATTTTTGGATGATTTCCTAGATCTCAATTAGAATGAGGACATCTTATCTTCTACCAACTTTTTAGGCCATTTTACACTTTTTTTCGCTTATCTTTGTTGGAAGAAACATGACGCATATCTTCATTTTTATTTAAAAAATATCAAGTGATGGACATGAAACTATATTTATATCTGGTTTGAATTCTAAAAAAATCATTATGTTCACGAATCTAAAAATATATAAATTCCGGAAATTTGATTAAGTTGTGATTTTTCTCTCTAATGTTTTCTTCGAGAGTTATTGTACATATTATATCGTTTTATATTTTCTGACTTGTATTCACTTATCTCTGATACTTTCAGCTCGCTTTGATTTACTCTCTCAATTTCTCAATTAGCTTCTTAATGTTATGTTCAATGACATGCTGTATTCTCATTTCCACGATGTATCAGCTGTCTTAGGAATGCATCCGATGTGTGCATAACACATTTCTATCTTATAAACAGCGCTTTTTTTTAAAGAAATAGCACAGATCGTTATTTGGAAAAGAAATTTTAAGTGAATTATTTTAGTTTTAAGTCATCAATGGTAAATGAATGACGTATAAAGCGTGATGACGACTGATATCGCGATATCTTAAGAACATTGAGTGAAAAAAGATGGAATGGGTAATTAGGAAAATAAGCCTGCAGTTTTATAAGAACTGCTTTGGGAAAATTATTGCTGCTTTTTAAATATGTTCCTCGATCAAAGACGACACATACGAAGAATCAACAGTAAAACGGGAAATCGAAAAGGACTGAGATGATGACTGGCCGCAGAAGTGTTCGGGGCCAGAAGTTACTTATTGATATAACAACAATTTAGTTTTGATCGCCTATTATATATTTCCATTTATTTGGAGATATCTTTACGATGATGGGTTGTATTGAGTACTTCATAAGATGTGAGAAAGTTATTCTAGGGTATAGATGGATAATTATCTTAAATGCTAATTCACATCAGGAAAATTTCCGAGATTCCGAAACACATTTAACAAATGAGAAATTTCCGAGAAAAACGTTTAACAAATGAGACGGAAAAGTGGAGATATATGGAGATTGGTAGGGACTGACATATGTGTGAGATACAATCGATCATCTTAATTTTTCAATTCGTTAACTTTAAAAAACGACAACGGCAAAAACATCTTACTAACTGTTCTCTTGTCAATCCATCGCACTGTTATTCGATCAATTTCAAACAATTTTTTCTGCAAAAAACTGTTCCTAGAAAAATTATAATTCTTTTTCATTTCATTATAGTTCAATACCTAATTAGGAGCTTTCAGAATCATGTATTTTCAAGTACGATACTGTTATCTCTCTTAATTCTATAATAATTGCTGATTTGAAGCGGAACTTTTACTTTTTACTGAATGATCATCAAATTTATATGGACAAAAAAACAGTGATAATTGGAAATAAGAAGAGTAATAAATATGAAATTCTTGATACCCCGAAAATTTTCAACAAATATTCACTAACTATGCTTGATGTCTAACCAGATTTTTGTAATCTCGTTAACAAGTATTCTTCATTCCGTACATAAGCGTAAGATCATTCCTTAATAGAATCGTTTTATGTATTTAAGATTTGTAATAGTTCTAACAACTTTCAACTGCTACTTTTATTAAACTGACAGTACATACTGTTGCATAAAAAATATGATTCTTTGTTTGTTATAGGCAATCAATTCCAAATAAATCCAATCAGTATTGCTTGAATTGTTGTATTTTACAACATTTGTCGACAGAAGAGCTGGAAAATGGGCGCAATTGAAAAAAGATTGAGAATGCATGAAATTTCTCAACCAACTAAATTTTCTTTTAACTTTTGGTTCTTTAAAATTGTAAAGAATAACTAATATTATTGCTACAACAATTACTATAAATAACTATTGTTGCAACTACCATTATGATCATTTTTAGTACTAATAGTTACACTATATTAATAAAAGAAGAATTTGTTGGTTTAGAAAAACGACAAAAAAGCAATTCCTATTACTTCCATTTGTCAGTTAAAGTTTCCGTCATCAGAAAGCTTTACAAATAATCACGGAGAGAATATGAAATTTCACATTTTATCGGTAAATAATTTAAAAGAAAAATAGAAAAAGGATAAGAAAGAACTGCGTTTTTTTTTGAGTGAACAATAAATGCAAAAAATTAATTAACAAAAGAAACTAATTGTTTTCTCACCTTCTTATTTATTCTTCTATAAGTGAATCTCACACCGACAGTTAGCAAGAAAATGAACTGTAATTAATTGATCAAATCTGTGCCATCATCCTGAACAAATCATGATAAGAAACTGCGAGTTCATTGTTATATCCGCAAGGATAACGATTTGAAGCATAGCTGAAGCATTTGTACTTCAAACATTCAATATCATATCCAATCTCATCCATAATCACACAGTATACTGATAAGAATAATAGTGGTTGTAAGTTTGTCAGCAGCTAATTAAAAATATGAAATGCTAATTAATGAGATCTGGATTCCATTTTTCAATAACGAACAAGGAAATATGAGAGTTGGATCAAGTTGCTTTCAAATTTCTGCTTTTTCTAGCTGTAAATTTCCAATTGACTTTAGTTGTCAACTCCATTTGACTCCTACCTGGAGTAACTAGACGATTATGAAATTTTCTGCTGGAATTCATCATTATTTCTGATTTAAAAGTCAGTAATTCATTAGCTAACGATGATATGGCCATTGTCAATAATTTGAGTTGTTGCCGATTCAATGGCATGATTGGTCAAATCATTGTCCATTTTTTGTTGTTTTTGACGATGCTTCTGATATCGATATCGCCAAACAGTAATCCTTCGTAGAAGCCATGTAACAAAGGTTTTAAACGCAATTAGAATAAAAAATAAGGCCAGAATCATAGCTGTAACAATTCCAATCCACGGATCGTAGTGCTGATAGAAATCATCGGTTGTTCGTGGTGGATTCGAATCCATGAAATCACGTTTATCCGGTGTTTTACATGTTGGAAAGCACGAATCACGTCGTTGCTTCTGTTGCTGCTGATATTGGACTGCTTCTTCTGATGCGTGCATAATTTGCAGTAAACCTTAAGCAAAGCTTTGAGGCCAAAACACTTGTTAAGTATTATTGTTTCTCAAGAGGAAAGAGCCACGCCCTTTGTAGTCGATTCAAATAAATCGAAAAGTAGTCAAAAGGAAGGAGCGAAAGAAGAAGGAGTGAAGCAAGGAGAAAGAAATGGAAGGATAACTGAAAGAATAAATTCAACAGAAATTGTCTGAGCAAAGAATGAAGCAATTAAGAAGAAAAGAAGAAGATAAGCTGAAGAAGATTGTGCTAAATTTCCTCCCGAAAAATCATGTTATAGAGGAGAAATAACAAGAATGAAATCAAAAGTATGCTATTGCTACTGCTGCACTTACTACTTATTACTACTTCTTTTATCGCCTCCGTTACTTTGAGACAACGGTTGAAGCTTGGTTGATTCGAAACCGCTTTTCTTGCTTGTTTGCTTATTTGTTTTATATAAGAGATATTTACTTATTGCATAGCAGTAACTCATGATGACAATAACGACAATATAATAATAATAGTAAT